TACTTCTGTCAAGGAAATGGCATGGGGGGGAGTACCCATCCTCCTACCACCTTGATCCAAACCATGTTCTTTAGCCCTGGATGATGCTTTCCCTGTGGTTTCTAACTGATATTTCAACCAAATACTTACGGTCCACAAATGACGTGAAGAGCATCCTGAACCTGCTCAGCCTACTGCCTTCATCCGCCCACATCCGCACCACCCCAGTTCCGGTTTGAAGCATCACGTCGTTTGCCACGGTGCTGCAGAACTTTGCTTTCAAGTTTTCAATGGCGCTGCTTCCATCATACACAGCCACAAAGTTTCTCTTGCATTCATTTGAATGCTCCATTTGGTAGTCCAGAAATCTCAAATAAATCTGTTTGCCAAGAGGGGGAGAAAAAACTTTTAAAAAGTGAACTACTAGTTAAGTTGCATAAAACTGAAGAATACAACAGCCAACACCGTGACTTCCAATTCTTTTAAATTTGCATTTTTACAACTTAGTGAAAATGAAGCAGGCAGATAAATACATTGCAATTTTATGTTTATAGTTATTTATTTGGGGAATTTATATGGTGCCTTGCTGGAGATGGCATGTGTTAGGTGGCGAACAAAAGAAAAAAATTATGAACTATCAATATAAAAAAAAAACAGGGCTATTTTTGGGCAGGAACACACAGGAATGGAGTTCTGGCTGGCTTCAGAGTTGGCCACGCCCACTACAGCCAAAACCTCTGTGTGCATGGCTACAGGGGGAAGGCCTGGAGAGTGACACACACCCCGGTGACTCTAAGGCGGGCGGGCCAGGGGGGCGCCTGGAAGGATCGGGGGAGAGTTTAAATGCCTCCCTGTCCATGGGCCGGCTTGCCCGGGCTCTCTGCAGCTGCAGGGCACCCGGGCAAACCAAGGGAATGCAGTTTAAACTGCCTTCCCTTCCCTCCAAGGGCCAGCTTGCCTGGGCTCCCTGCAACTGCGGGGCGCCCAGGCAAGCCAAGGGAAGGCATGGGGTGTGGTCTAATATGCTAATGAGCTGTGCTGTCATGGGTGTGGCCTATTATGCTAATGAGTTCCTGCTGGGCATTTTCCTACAAAAAAAAGCCCTGAAAAAAACAAAGCAGGGTATTCAAAATCTATGCCAAAACAGTTAACAGACAGAAACATTTGCACTTTCTGATAGCATCCCATCCCCCCCTTTCAGGCTTGAAAGAAAAGTTAAAACGATTCTTTAAATATGTGTTCTTCCCAGACAGAAAACATTGAAGTTCCCTCTCATGAAACAAAACTGAGACCTCATTTTTCCAATGTTTGTTTTTCTCAGTGCCTGCTGACTCAAACCTAAGAGCAACTGTTCTTCCCTTAGCAAGTTAAATGTGTATTAGCAAAGGAGTTTTAGAAGCTAGAAGGGAAGTTACGTAACTGTTTTAGTTGGTGGGTGATATTCCTTGGTTCTGAATGTTTTTCCATCCCTGTCTTCCAAAATCATTCTTTGATTAAAGATAGCAACTCTTCATAACAATTTTGTGTGAGGAACTAGTGCAAGAGAGCCCCGAGATCTTACGATTTCTCAAGGGATGCATGCATTCATCACTCAAACATGTACATGAATTCCTTCCATCAAGGTATCATTTCATAAAATGTATGCAATTCTGTCTCGGCAGGAACATTAACAAATCGTTGGCAATGACTTCTTTATACAGGAGCATACTTGCAGTATAAGTGAACAGTGAATTGCCACTTGGTTTCTGTTTTTTCAGGGTATTCGAGTACTCAGAGACTCAGAGAAAGGTGATAAGTCTGGACAGAAAAGCGTCCTGGAAGTGCTTCAGTCCTGCTTGGAGCCAAGATTCAACAGCCTACTAACAAGCTACCAGAAACCAGAATTCACTCCAGGGGGCAACAACAAAACAGTGCAAACAATGGAAGCTTGTACTTGACAGGACAGAGAGGGGAAAGCAAGCAAAACATTCAAGCCATTGGAACCCTTTATTCCTTATCTCACTACACTGTAGCAATTATGTTGTTGTGGTTACCCTTTGTCTGAGTGCTGTGGTGCAGGGGCTGGGTCCGATGCTTAATCCCATTGTGGAAGGGAACTTCTTTAATTCCTACCTCCTGCTGA